ATGCTAGATGTACACCCGGTGATTTACACACGGGGTTACACCCCCCTCACATTGAGGGGGGCCACGAATATTTTATTGTGTGTGGGTCCTCTCCATGTGAGGGAGGTGTAAAGTCATGTGTACACCATTGTATACACGTAGCATCTCCCTAAATTTTATCCGTGGTCAATTTAATTTAACCAAATTTCAACATATCACTAAATTTGAATTTATCTCAATTAAATCACTAAATTTTTTAATATCATTTCAAAATTCATTAATTTTTCACAATTTGTAACTTACCATCCCCAAAATGATCGAAATTGCTTGGGGTTAACAACATACCATAACTCATCTTTCACGTTTGGTATCAGGGCACATGGTGTTAAGAAATCTGTGAAAAAATGGGCAAAAACCTTCTAAAACGACGTAGAATTGAAGCTAAAAACATGGATCGAAACTCTATAGTTTTTGCAACAAGTTGTCGGACTTGTTTATGTCTATTTCGGCCAAACCAATGGCCTTTTGAAGAAATGGAGATCATATCCTTGATGTGCAGACCAAGGCGTAGCTAGCGGCATCGGCGTCGGCGTCGGCGTCGGCGTGTGGTCGTGGTGCATTGAAACCACACGTAGGAACTGCGGGCACATGTCCAATGTTTTTCAGCAACGATTTTAAAGGTAGAATGTGGCTAGTGGCATGATGGACCTTACAGTGGTGTCCGTTTTCTATTTTGAGTGATACAGTGAAATTTGGATGATTTTGCCCTTTACACATTTGGAATTCGATCGTATTTGATTGATTGCTACAAATGTTGGAGGGTTTAGGACAAATAGTGGTAGCTTTAAAGTAGTAAATTTGCATCTCTTATTATTAATGGACTATAGATTGGTTCCCTCTAGTAAATTGGCTCATCCCATTTTAATTTTCAACATTAGCGAATTATTATGTGGGGGAGATATTAGGTTTAGGGTTACAATGTGGGGTAACCATTGCCTGTTACTAGATTTACGAATTATTTGACCTGAATTTTTTGTGAATTTGTTGTGAATTTGTTTATTCACTATTAGAATTGCACGTGATCTTAAAAAAAAAAAATTGTTTGATTATTTAGTGTGCATTGTGTCTGTATTTTACTTGTGATCGTTGGTTGTATTTTGTGTTTTTGTATATTTTTTGATAAAATGACAACATATTTTAAGTTATGTTTTTCCAATGACAAAAATGTGTTTTTTCAATTTGACAATACAAAACGTTTTTATAAAACTGTTGATGGTAAATGCAGGTTTAAGCAAAGTGTGAAAATGAAGTTGTGTTTTAACTCCAGTAGTTTGAACATATTCAAAGAGACCGTTCTACGAAGAATAATGGAAGAAAAGATAAGGGTAGAGGTGTGGCGAATGTTGCTACTGAGTTTAATTATGACTCGTGTGAGGTTTATTGAGAATAAACATATTTATTGCTTTCGCATCTATATGAAATCTATGGCATATTCTGTTTGCTTTTGCATCAATG